TCATCATTGGTGAAAGCTGAGAAAAAAATGAATAACTGAGGATTTCCAAGAAAGGGTATCTAAATTTCAAATGTTTCTGAGATGTTTCCCAGACTTGGATAATATTTTTAACATGAATTTTCACTAAGTATTTTAGAAAGCAGGCTTCTACTCAGTGGCGATTTAGTGGAGGTTTCTTTCCTATGACATGAACTCTCTTTATTTAAAGTATGTGGCCCTTTGGAACAGCTGAGTGAAAGCCCCAAAACACTTCCCTCCTCCTACATTCTGCCAGGGCTGAAAAGTTTGTTTAAAACTCAGTGTGCTGGCAGCTCTTTTTCCCTTGACCACAGAAGAATGTACACCCATAGCCTTCCCTCCCAAACTAGAGAGGGAAGGAATTTCTTCAGCATCATCCAGGACTGGATTTGGGACAAGGAACAGGAAGCCATTGATGAAGCCTCCTTAATGCAGGCGCTGGAGGAGATGTGCTAATGTGGTCTCTCTAGCAAGACCCTGAATGAGCTTCAATGAATTTGAGAAACCTCATTCTGCCAAAGGGCTTGACGTACCCCTTGCTCTACCAGGAGTGAGGCCTTCTAGGAGAGATGGAGAGTTAGGTAACCAAGGGTCTTGATGTACATAGCTGGCCTGGCCTTCCTCCAGCTTGGCCTTGCCTTACTTAATACTAGTGCTTACTTCTACTTGTGCTTCCTACAAGCGAGATACCAAAGTACAAGCTGGAATGTATTAGATGGTTATTTATTTGTTTGGTTTTCCCATTTGTTAGATTCCTACCCTGTTAGATTCCTTTCATTCAGAAGTGCAATCTGTATGTGCGTTCAGAGGGCAGGGGTAGGCATAGTCATCTGGGGAGCAGGAGGTGCTAAGTCCGGGAGTGACTCGACTGAGGAAAGAGAAGAGTAAAAGAGCCAGGGCTGTTCTGCAAAAATAGCTGATCCGTCTTTTTTAGGACATTTCAAAAGCCTTCTCCTGCTTAGCCTCGTGCTAAGTGGTTACTTACCACTGCAGGATTTTTGCAGCCATTAGCTGTAGTTCCCTGGTTATTGTTGCACCACCAGCGGCTGTTTATCTGGAAAATCCCATAGTCCCGACTCCCATTGGAGTTTTTCGGGTCCACAAGTTGGCTGTTGCACTTGCTCTCGTAATAAGCCATACAGACCCCTGGAATAAAAGAAACAGAGGAAATGCTCCAGTGGCGGCTAAGAGCAAAGATGATGCTAATGGGGGGAGGGGGGGAAGCTGCCATTTGTTTCTTTTATGAATTGCATATTTTGAAGGATAATGATTGAAACACATTCTTTCATGGATCTCACTGAGTAGTAATGCTATTTATTGGAACCACACACATTTTGGAAAATGACTTTCTTCTTTGACAGAATTTGAAATATTCTTACCTTAAAGGCACTCCTCAAGTTTTTGTATTGCTCTTAATACATTTCCTCTGAGGTTCTCACCTTATACACGTAAATTGGTATATCTGATTGCAGAACGTTGTGAATGGATTGGGTCTGTAAGCACACGGAAAAAATGCCCTGTGCTTCTCCCTGTCTCCCTTGCCTTAAAACAGCCCCTTTTGCCTATGCTGATGGAGTGTGTAGCTAAGAAAGAGGAAATTACAGTCCAGAAGAATGATGCTCTAGCAAAGGGGAGGGGAATTTTGGACTGGACTAGAAAAATAGAGAGAGACTGGGTGAAACACTATTTCTTTGTGTAAGGAGGTGGAGAAGCCCCCCCCCCCCCTTAAGTGTAAAACTCTGAATTCCTAAGTGCTACAAGGAAAAACAACATCCCAGCTAAGTATGCCTGAAACTGCAACAGCGAAAGCAGGCAGAAATAAGGCAATGTCAAAAAAAGCTGCAGGGGGACTTGGAACTGCAGGGCTAGGATTGTCCGGCAAAAGCAGACAGGCCTTTGATGGATTTGGCGTGGAAGGCCAGAGCTGGGACAGCAGGAGATCTGGGAAGAGATCTGGCAGCACTGGGTGGTCCAACACTTGAGGACCCCAGAGAAGACTTGGCAGCAGACACATGGGGAGTGTGAAGCTAGAGAGGCCATGAAAGCAGCAACTCACCACCAAAAAGATCCCACATCAGAGAGGGGCTGTCAGCTGCTAGGCAGGCCGAGGCTGGCTGGGTTCCTTTCCTGGGAGGGAGACAGTGGGGCAGATCGCACCCTAGACCCTGTACTCCAGGTAGCCTTCATAAGGTATTTTGCCAGCTCAAAGGCAAACCTTAGTGGTCCTTAATGGGATTCCAGGAACCTCAAAGTTAAGAAGAAAGCAGGAAAGGCCTAGACCTCTTCAAAGACAGCTTTTGAGGGTATTAACACTAAGATCCTGAAACCAAGCTACCAATAAATTATTTTATGAATGAAACATCTCATTCCCACCTGGCTTTGCTGGTTTTCATCCAACTCAAACCAATTACGAACTTCCATATTACCATATTGTAGCATCACCAGCTCTTTGGGAAACTTCACTTTCTTTGAATTTGGGGATAGCCTGTCTCTCACCTGGGAGAGCTCTAGGGGCTTGTAAACTCTTTGGAGAGATCATTGCAAAGCCAGCAGCAGCTTCCTTTCTTTACATGATGACAAATTTGAAAAGAAGCTCTTGGCAAGGGTGGTGGTGCATGTTGGAGTCTGAGACACAGAGCAGAATTGTCCTTTTCCATTTCATTGGGTGACCTTTCTGCTTCTGGAAATGAATCCCCCATCTGACCAGCCCCACAACAAAGGGTATTGGAAAGAAAGAGCAAATTCACAGTTGCCCAAGCTGTAGCCATGGTATCCATCCAGTCCATGCCATTTCAGAAGTGCAGCCAGTTCACATTTGGTAAATACTTTGGCTTCATTGGCAGCAATGAAGAAGAAGAGGAGGCTGAGGGTCACTGTCTTCATTGCTGTGGCTTCCCAAAGGATCAGACTTCCCTGAGATAGCCCAGAGAGATATTTATAGCCAGAGATCTGGCCACATGCTCCAAATGATTGATAGGAAACAGCCCTATTAAGGAAATTGCAAACAACACTTATGACCGCACAGAGCAGTACACAAATCAACAATTTCTGCATCATTTTTAATATCTTTTACACTGCCTGAGTGTAAGTAACTTCCTGAGAAGTTCAGGAACATAACCTTCCTTTCAATCTCCCCCTTTCATTTTTTCTACTTTTTTTTTTTTTAATGATCATGGAATTGTTGCCACTAGTTTTTCTTCTTTTAAGTCTAGTAAATGGGGCTATGTGAAGAAACCCTTAGTCTCCAGATGACTCTTAAATTATATTTTAACTCCTTATTTTTAGTGGCTTGGATTAGCAATAGTATTCCATCTGACTGTTTCAGATGAAAATACAGGGACGGGACTGTTCCATATATGGGGCCAATCAGTCAGAACAGTTGTAAACATTGTCCTCCAAAACTGTTACTTCAGATCTAACTGAATATTACAGCAGTTTGTACCTGCTGTCTATCATCAATTCTGGATAGAATTCCAGGATAGAAAATGTATGATACAGCATACTGAGTGCTTCCTTTAAAAAAAATCATTTTGTTAATTTTAAAAACCGAAGCACAAAAGTTGGATTCATAGCATACATAAATATTTATGCACTATAACTTCCTAGAATACAAAAACTTGCTTATTATTATAGACACATCCAATCCAGACAGGCTCCATAATTTGCATAACTATCCTGTATCAGCTTCTAGCAAGCCACTTTACTATAGTTTCTTTGATTAATTGAAAGATATGAAATCTCAGCAATATGTGAGCAGACAGGTGCCGGGGTGTGTATGTTTGTGTGTGTGTGTGTGTTGCCTGAGGAAAGCTGCAAGATCTTGTGGACATCGCTGTTACGTTTGCCATATTGTAAAGAAAGTATTTTGTTTAAACTGACCAGTTCATAATCTATTTGGTAGATGGAGTGTTTCTTAACACGATTCATTAGTTTAAAGGAGCATGAAGCAGATGTGAAAAGGGTGCGGTAATGGCTATGAGAATATTGTACGTAAAACTGAAGAAATATGACTACAGTCTAATTTTCATAAAGTTTCTGGGATATCACATTAGCCCAGATGCCATCAAAATGGATCTGAAGTTTAGCCCATTCTCTTTTGGGAACCACCTCAGAAGAGATGCAAAGGACAGCTTGTCCCGCTACCTTGTTTATTGGGATGTGTTTAAAACTATATATTGTAATGTTTAAAATATTTCAAGTTTGTGGTTTTAAAAATACCCTCATGCAGCGTCAGAAGTTGGTTAACTGGAGAGCCTCTTCTGCAGAGGAAGAACTGCCAAATATAAAGCCGTTCCTGTCTTTTTTGCCACAGCGTCTCTTCTTTTCTTTTCTTTTCTTTTCTTTTCTTTTCTTTTCTTTTCTTTTCTTTGAAGAGAAGAGAAGAGAAGAGAAGAGAAGAGAAAGGAGAAGAGGGAGGGAGGGAGGGCGGGAAGAAAGAAAGAAAGAAAGAAAGAAAGAAAGAAA